AAAAGGATTTACTAAAATATGCCAATAAAGTCCTTCCAGCACTAGACTGTGAAACTCATATCCCTAAAATTCAACCCACGGATCACGTGTTACTTGAAGTTTAGAAAAAAGAGTCACCTTTAGATCAGCGCCTTCCTAAATAAAAGGGCCCCTACCAAGTTCTTTTAAACACGCCCACTGCTGTCAAGTTACAGAGACATACTTCTTGGGTTCATTTATCAAAAATTAAACTTGTTCCTTTTGAGACTCTAGAGGATCAAGAAGTCAAAGAGACAGGGGCATGTGCACCTTTAAAAGACAAATATTCAGGCTGGGGATTTAGCTCAATGGTTCCACCGCCTGCCTCATAAGCACAAGGACCCAAGTTTCATCCCCCCTCCACCAAAAAAAAAAAAAGTAAAAGACAAATATTCTTCAGGAAGAATAAGAAACCTAATTCCCAATAAATTAAATAAGTTCATTTGGCCTAAATATATTCTGTCACAGCTGCACTATATCTGTTAAAATTAAATTCAGATTATTCATTTTTCCCCCAACCCTTATACCATTTTCCAATAGGGGAATTAATGTCCCCTGGGTCCAACAGTATGCCAAAAGCATTAACAAAGATGCATGCTGGATTTGTGAATAATTGCCCATTTCTAGTGCATCTGGGCTACCATGGTGGGTATCATATTGACAGAGAGAGGATTAGATAAAACTTCAAAATTTTATAGAACAGCTACAAAGCACAATACTTTTAAACTTTACAACCAGGTCTAATGTCTCTCAGTGGCCAATAAATGAGACTCTTCATCAAAAAGGCCAGGAGAAAAGCTTTTCTCTAGCCACAATTAATATTTTTTAATAATTGGCTGTCATCCTGGTTCCCTAGAGCAACCTGATGAAAACAAAGCACTCATTTTTTTCTAGCTATGATAGTGCACATTAGAATTCTTATCTGTTGCATGATTCATTGTTGTTATGGGCTAATGTCTCCTATGTCCTTGCCTCCTTTAATCAGACTATCAAAGGATCATGGTTCTTCGAAAGATAAAACCCTGTATTTCCCCCCCTGGCTAGTCAGGATCAATGAGCCTCTTTAGCCTGAAGCAGTTACTGAAGACAACCATCAGCCTTCTGCAAACTCTTAAGAGTAAGGGACCAAGGGCTGTGGTTCTGCTACCTGCCTCACAAACGCAAGTACAAAATCCCCAGTACAAAAAAAAAAAAAAAAAAAAAAAAAAAAAAAAAAGTAAGGAAGCAAAGTCTGAGGGGGAAAATGAGGTTGGAGAGAAAAAAATAAAGCAAGGTAAAGGAGAGACAAGAAGATCAAAAAATTTTAAATGGCATTTTAAAGAAAAACTGCAGCTTCAGAACACAAGCCTGGTTTATTTACTGTTTTTTTTTTTCCCTTCTCCCAAAACAGCAAAACTGGGCAATTCCCTTCCAGATGCAAATGGGTCTGCCCATACCCTTTTTCTCCAAAATGTTTCTTTTACCCATAAAGGGACCTCCCTTTTGACATTTCCCATAGAAATAGCTCACTAAATGTGGGCCATCCTCTCTCATCTTTTAAGCCTAAGAATGAGCCTGAGACTGAGACTAAATCTATAGATTATTGAATTCTATAGATTTCCAACTCCCAAAACATCTAAAAAATCCCTAGTTCCCAACTGTATTGTGCCTCATTTCTTTGAGCACACACAGTCTACTCTTGAGTGTATCCTATATCTACTTCTAATAAATCCTCTCATGCCTCTTTTATCGATGTGACCTAAAAATTCTTTTTCCTTGCTTGAGAGGAGTCAGCAACACTGTATACTTATCTTTTTTTTTTTTTTTTTTTTTTTTTTTTTTT